CAGTAAGTATCAAGACTAACCTCAGTGGAGTAGTAACGAGGTACAGTCAAGACACTCACTAGTAAAATAATCTGTGCAATATAGCATACAAAAATAATAGAAACAAATAGCAGTGATAGCAACACCAATTAACTAGTGATATAAATAGCAAGGCAACATGAACACCATAAATATTACTAAAATAATTAATAAACACAGGTACAACCAATTAACCAAGTCCTTCAAAATATACCTCTTTTATCTATAAGTTTTTCAAAAAAAGTCTCTATAATATAATCCTTTTCAATAAATATATTTCGATTATACTTCCTTCAAATAAATATCTTTCCATTATAATTCTTTCAAATGAATATCTTTCGAATATAATTCTTTCAAATGAATATCTTTCGAATATAATTCTTTCAAATAAATATCTTCCAAATATACTTCTTTCAAGTAAATATCTTTCTAATATAATTCTTTCAAGTAAATATCTTTCAAATATACTTCTTTCAAGTAAATATCTTTCTAATATAGTGCTTTCAAATAAAAGTCACCATGTGACATCTCATTTAACTTTCCCGGTGTGAGAAATATATTCAACANTCAAGTCAATTAGCACGGTAACACCGTTTGTGCATTTATATCTTTCTCACCGTGCATACATATAATAGTACCCACTAGGTGGGAGAAATATCAATAACAATAAAAGAAATAAAGTGGAGGCACACATGATGCAACAACGACTACAAATCACATAGAAAACATAGGTGCACAATAACATCTCAAGATAAAGGGATGAATGTATACACAACAAACGATATCACAATATAATGTATGTCTCTCATCCTCGCCTGCACGGAAACACCCTTCGTGCCATGAATATATGATAATATAAAAATAATTGCACGGCATCACCCTTCGTGCTTTTACTCTTATCCTCACCTGATAATATAAATGAAATGGCACGGCATCACCCTTCGTGTTTTACACTCTCAATAGCACGGTATCACCCTTCGTGCTTTACACTCTTAAAATGGCAAGGCATCACCCTTCGGGCTTTACACTCTCCCTCACAAGATAATATAATTCAAATGGCACGGCATCACCCTTCGTGCTTTACACTCTTCCTTACCAAGCACATGCATATCATTAACAAGCAAGGTAGGAAGTATAAATAACACCAAGGAGAGTGTTTAAACCACAAAACAATACCACAATTCATCTCACAATTTGGCACTGATCACAACCAATTTCAAATATGTAGCAGAGTCAATACATTTCTCAACAAATAGCCCAACGCTTCACACAACATATATATAAAACCTCAAAACAATCCATAGAGATGGAAAATACTCAGTATAGGGCAGCACCTTCATTAATTCAAATTCTTAATAATTATATAAATACCTCTTTTTAAGCTTATTTAATTAATTATTTGCATATGAAAAATCCATAATGAAATTAATTTACAAGAAATATCAAATCATCAATTCACGAAATCCACATAAATATACAAGTAATAATCACATCAAATTGTCATATAAAAATAAATTCAACAAACACGAGTTGAGGCATGGAAAAATAGATGATTTAATAAATGCCAACAATTATCCAATTTACTACACAACAAGCCTAAGACCTTATCTCAATATATTTTGCACATATAAGCCCGAGTACTTACTCGTCACCTCGCGTACACGGCTTTTTATATTTCACAAATGGCGGATAAGACTCGATGCCTAAGGGGTAATTTCCCCACTCAAGGTTAAGCAAGACACTTATCTTTTTCAAGTTATGCCGATATTCCAAAATCACCTCCTTGCTTGAATTGACCTCCGGATAGCTCAAATCTATCCAAATTAATTGTATAACTTTATTAAAATTCATCGGAAACAATTCCGGATAATAATACGTTGACTTAAAAATTTATTCCAAAAAGTCAACAAAAGTCAACGCGGGGCTCGCCCCTCGAAATACGACATAATTTTTACGAAATCCGAACACCCATTTTGGTACGAGTTCAACCATACCAACTTTACTCAAATCCGACATCAACTCGACCCTCAAATCTCCAAATTAAACCAAGAGGGTTTTCATAATTTTCCAATTTAATTCACCAATTAAATGTTAAAAATAACCATGAATTCGGGTAATTAAACCAATACTGAGTTAAGAACACTTACCCTATTGTTTTCCTTGAAAAACTATTGAAAATTTCCTCTTCCCGAGCTCCAATCCGTCAAAAATAGAAAATGGGACGAATTCCCATTTTCACAACTTAAACTCACTGCCCGGGCTTTTCTTCTTCGCGTTCGCGTGACCAGTATCGCGTTCGCGAAGGCCTGACTATGCACAGCATCACGTTCACATTCAAGCTCTCGCGTTCGCGGTAGCCAACTGCCCTCCTTATTCGCGTTCGCTGTCTAAGCTTCGTGTTCGCAAATGCTTAATGGCTCAGGGTCCCGGCCCCCTCTCCTTCTTCGCGTTCGCGACCACTGCATTGCGTTCGCGTAAGCTTGACCAGACCTTGCCTCATGTTCGTGTCGACTGCTTCGCGTTTGCAAAGGTTTAATCCAGCACCCCCAAAATTTCTTCTTCGCGAACGCGGGGCTTCCTTTGCGTTCGCGAAGAAGGAAACCAGACACCAGAATCAGCAGTTCCAAAATAGCTCCAAATGATCCGAAACCACCCCGAAACACACCCGAGGCCCCCGGGACCTCAACCAATCATACCAACAAGTCCCATAACACATTACGAACTTTCTTGAGGCCTCAAATCGCATCGAACAATATCAAAATAACGAATCACTCCTCAAATCAAAATCTATGAACTTTGAACTTTTAAATTCTATATCTTGTACCGAAACACATCAAATCAATTTGAAATGACTTCAAATTTTACACACAAGTCATAATTGACATAACAAAGCTATTCAAATTTTCAGAATAGGATTCCGACCCCGATATCAAAAAGACAACCCCCCGGTCAAACTTCCCAAAAATTTATCTTTCGCCATTTCAAGTTAATTTTACTACAGACCTCCAAATAATTTTTCGGACATGCTTCTAAGTCCATAATCACCATACGGAGCTATTGACATCATCAAAATTCTATTCCGGAGTCGTTTGCTCAAAAGTCAACTCTCCGGTCAACTCTTTCCATTTAAGCTTCTAAATAAGGATTATTCTTTTAATTTAAGTCTGAATCTTCAACAAATCAAACTCGGTCACACCCGCAGGTCATAATACATATTGCGAGACTGCTCGAGACCTTAAGTCACTGAACGAGATGCTAATTCTTAAAACGGTAAGTCGGGTCGTTATATTGAGCTTCCTTTAATTTTGCTTTTTTGGAGCAATAGCACAAACAACGTAACTTATTATATGGAATCCAATAGAAATTGGAGTAGTAGAGTCTGAAGAAGCAGGAGAGCTCACCTTAGCAATTTGAGATTATTTAAATTTGCTGTTGAATGGTAGTGTAATTTGAAACATATTATTGATAGATAGAACATGATGTATATGCCAATAACTTTCTCACAAGAGCCATATGGTACAACGAGAAATTATGTCAACATCTATTAAATTTCTCTTTTTTTCATTCGTGTAATTAATTTATTTCGATAATATACATTTTGATCTTTTTCATATCAACTATACTTGTAAAATGAGTTGTTTGACTGTACGAAGCGCGGGCAAATTAACTAGTATTTAAAATTATTAATTGGTGTCTTTTGCACTTCATAAATAATTTCAAAGCTTTTGCTAGATTGATTGAGTTACGAAAGAGTTTATTTCCCCATTCACAACGCAAAAGGTTATTGTTTCAGGCTTGAAAATGAAGCTGAAGATCTGGTGAGCTATTACTTGATTCGTGGGCATCATAAGGGAAAAAAAGGTAATTTGTTTTAATCAATTGTCAGAATAATTTTTAAAGAATGGCAGCATAAGATTCACTAAACTTAAGAAAACATGAAGAAAACAAGAAGCAGCAGACATGCCAAGTGCTATATATGGCAGTAATACTTAAGAATAATTTGAAGTCTTTGACAGCATACAAGAAAAGAGTTCAGAATAATTAGTTAGAGATAATTTTTCTTTTATTTGTTCTTTAGTAACCTTAAAGAAAAACAAAAACTCTACAAATGTCATTTGATACTGTTTCAAATTATATCTATCCCTCTTTCCAATATTATGGTTATTGTTGGCTGGTAATGAGGGTTCCATCCCCATTTTATGCAATGTGGCAAAAAAGACTAATTCAACCCCAATTCGTCCTTCCTAGGACATAAGGAGCATGGCCATGTTCACCCCAAAATCAATCTAATTATCTAATGAATAGTTTTCCTTGTGATCAGTGGTCCCATCAGTATTTGACTTTCTCTTTTCTCTTTTATAATCACTTGCGAGTCAGTACACAAGTTTGTAAACAAAATCTTAACGCGTGCTTAGTGAAGACACTTATGCGAATAATCCGAACCAAATTATAGATTTGGTTTTGAGAAATACAATATTTGAAGTCTTGATCTATTTATGAATATCCCAATAGTTTATGGGATATTTCTGAGTTAAGCATACTCTATTCATGTGCCTAAATTACAGTATAACTACTTTCAATATATAGCAAATTGATTTTGTTTAAATCATCTCTCATTGTTTTTTTTTATTCGAAGCAAGTTATTTTATACTGCAAAAGTTAAGTACAAAAAAATAGAAACATAACTCATACGTCTATCTTAGGAATGATCTAGCATCCTAAGATATTTCACCACTACCTTAGATACTGAAAAGCAATATCACTGAAAAGCAATATCACGGGTATTGATTGCCAGATATTTGCAAACACTAAAACGTGAATAAGCAGCAGTATTATTTATGAGCAAATGGAGCCTACTTAAATTATTTGGTCACCAATAATATATGTGTCAAAAAAGCTTATTGGGGCCTCCTCCTATTTGTTTATGATTATTGTACGCCTCTCATCAGTCCTACAAGAGTGTGTGAATCATGTTGAAGCTTGACAATAACTTGTTACCTGCAATATGATTTTATAATAGCTTAACCTGTCTATATAAGCTCATAATATGCTTCAAGCAAAGATCAATAACAATAGCTTCTGAGTCATACATATTCCTAGTGAAGTGACCATGAAATCGCATGTTGCTCTAATCCTGCTCTTTTCACTTTCCCTGGTAAGTTTTCGCAGATGATTAATTCTAGGCCTCCTTTTTGGTGGTTTATTATTCATTACTTTTTTGGAGCACCATCTGGCACTTCTTTCTCATTTGCCTTACCTTTCGAATTACAATATCTTTTCAAATCATATTTTAACAATTGAATTATTTAACTTATACTCCATCTCTTTTAATTTATGTAAACCTATTTTATTGGGCCCATATCAGTATATATATAGACTATGTACTCGAACGTAAAGAAGTTCATATAGCATATTCAAAAATCTTTTTTATGGTCTCTCTTTCTCGAGCAGTACACAAGCAGCATTGATGCAAGAAAAGACCCTGGAGAATACTGGAGAGATGTGATGAAAGATGAGCCAATGCCTGAAGCAATCAAACATTTTACGCTTCGGCATTCAGTTCCTCTCTCCAAAGAGAAAACTGATTGTTACACATTATCTTCTGTTGGAGGTGAAGCCTTTGAACCTAGGCCTAATCTATCTGTCTACCACGATGACGCCAAGCTGAAACAAGCTGAGAAATCCTTATTTACGAAAGATTTCGAGCCAAGGCCTAGTGCAACTGGTTATCATGATGATGATGACGCCGGTCTTAAATAAGAAAACTCCCTTGCCAAAGATTTTGAGCCTAGGCCAAATAATTCTGTGTACCATGATTGATATTGCTTATAATGAGTACTATGTGTCTTCCTGCATTTGTGAATTTATATTTTGTATGCCTCCCGGTGTTAAGTGATTTATGAAATAAAGATTTGTAACCATACTTGATGGTTGTATTGAAGTATTTCTTAACTTTATTATGTGTTCTAAGCAATGATCGATATGCTCGACTTCCTTTTAGCTGGTTTGTTTACAACATTTTGTGGGGTTAATATGAGTGGTTACTCAATTTTTACTTTATTACTCAAAATTATTATTTTTTATACTAAAAAATCACTACTTTACTTAAATATGACGAATATAAATGAACTATTTTTTTGTAAAAAAAAGCAACTCAACTCTTCCGAGGTATCACATAAAGTCACTAGGAGAAAATAAATGTGACGTCTTCTACGATTGCCTTTTGGTTAAAAAAAAAAAAAAAGTTTTTTTGTGATTTTCTATGATGCTTAGGTAGAGTGAGTGATTTTTTTTGTTACAACAAATTGTTTAGTGACTTTTTATGATACTTAGACAAAGTTGTGTAATTTATTTTACCTTCTTATACTACACATCAAACTTTATTACCCTACCTAATCAAGTTTTAATATAATTACAAGGACATATAAAATTTATCAATTATATACAAATAAGTTTTAAATGAGTACCCCTTTATATTTGGAATTGAATAAGCAATATCAATTATTTCTCCATTTCTTTATATCCTCCCTCTCTCTCTGTCTGTAACGACCCGACCGATCATTTTGAGCTCGAGTGCGTCGTTCGGCGGTTTGAGGCCTTGAGTAGCTTCATTACGGGTACTTGTACGTGTGGTCGGAACTGAACTTCGGGAAGTTCGAAGTTGATCGCAGAAGCGAGATGGTCTTCGCAGAAGCGGCCAGGAATGACTGAGGATGGAGTCGCAGAAGCGGGAAGGTGGACCGCGGAAGCGGAGTCGCACTTGCGGAGGGGAGATCGCAAAAGTGGAGTTGGCCAAGAAGGCCTGGGGCCGCAGGAGCGGACTTTGTCAACCAGGTGCGTGAGCGCAGATGCGCTAGTCGTCCGCAGAAGCGGAAGCGCATAAGCGCTATTTGGGACGGAAAAGCGGAGGCTCCTGGCTTGAGCTGTTGCCGCACCTGCGATGGTTTTTCCGCAGGTGCGGAGCCGCAGAAGTGGCTATTTTACCGCAGATACGAAAGGTCGTCTAGGCAGAGGTGTTCTTTTAAAAGCGGGATTTGGCCCATTTTCTCTCATTTTTCACTTGGTTGGGGCGAATTTGGATAGCTTCATGAGGTGATTTTCATCAAGCAACACAAGGTAAGTGATTCCCACTTATTACAAGTTAAATACATTGTTTATAAATGGATTTAAACATGGAAATTAGTAAAAATTTGAGATTTTGGTAGAAAATCTAGAATTTGGTATTTTTGAATTTTGACCACGAAATTGGATATGGAATTGAGAATAAATTATATATTTGAGTTCGGGGTGTTATGGGTAAGGTTTATCTTCAAAATATTTTGGAATTCAGGCACGTGGGCCTAAGGGTTAACTTTATCAACTTTTCGAGCGGAGTTGGAGATTATTTAAATTGATTAGTTATGGGTATTAGAGTATATTTTGATTGGTTTGCACGTTGTTTGACTAGGTTTGAAGAGACATGCATCGGGTTGAAGTGTTTGAGTGGCGTTGTAGCCGGTTATGGAACTTCGGAGCGAGGTAAGTCTCATGTCTGACCTTGTGAGGGGGAGACTACCCCTTAGGTGATATTTATTGTTATGTGAAACTAGTTGTGAGTGCTACATACGCACGAGGTGACGAGAGTTCGTACGTAACTAAATCATATTTATGTCCGGGTGGACTTAGGATCTTATTATGTAATATTTGAATTATTTGAACTCATGTTGCTGGCTTATTTAATTGAATTTATAAATGAAATTGATTTAGAAATAAATATATGTATACTAGCACAAGCCTTAACACTTTGAGTTGTGGACGAGTTATTTGAGAAACGGTAAAAATTATATCTATTTTATACCCACGTACGGTATTGTAAACACGTGTCTCGTAATTCAGTGAAATAAAATAAAAATTGAATGATTATTAGTGAAAAAGAACTGTCTTGTTTAAGTTGGCTAAATTTTGTATCGCTAACTAGTGAACTCAAGTTATATATCGTCGGGCTTGTGGTAGTAAAGAAAAAAATAAAAGAGATCGGGGAAGTAATATTAGTATTCAGTTCATCAGCTGGTATTCTCACGTATATTATTATGTTAATGGCCAAATTGCTTGCTTTCTTTCCTTTTTTAACTATATATATTTTAAAATTATTTATGTCATATTGGTAGAAAGTTTAGTCTCAAACTTAAGGTGGAGTTCGTTTCGAAAAGCAGCAGCGACGACAGAAGAGAACTTGGAGAATATTGGAAATGTTTCATGAAAAATAAGCCAAATGACTGAAGCATTCCAGCTTTATAATTGTGCCTTGGCATTCAGTTCCTATCTCTGGAGAAAATTACATCACCGTCACTCGTTATTTCTGTTGTAGCTTCCGTAAAAGACACAAAGTTGAAAGAATTGTAATGACCCAACTAGTCCTTTTGAGTGTAATAGCCCTGATCCCATATTTATTGCCCATCTGTCTTATAATATAGTTACGTGACTTGCCGGGGTGGTTGGTTTTGGTTTGGGTGAGTTTCGGAGTGAAATGGGACACATAGTCACTAAGTTGGAAGGTTAAGACGTAGGAATTAACCGTAGTTTGACTTGTGTGAAGATGACTCCGGAATAGAGTTTTGATGGTTCCAATAGCTTCGTAGGGTGATTTTGGTCTTAGAAGCGTATCCGGATGTCGATTTAGAGGTTCGTATGTCGTTTCAGCGTAAATTGGTGAAAGTTGGAAAGTTGGATGATTTTGGAAAGTTTGATCGGGAGTGGTCTTTATTGATATCAGGGCCGGATTCCGATTCCGGAAGTTGGAATAGGTCTGTAATATCATTTATGACTTGTGTGCAAAATTTGGTGTCAATCAGAATTGTTTTGGTATGAATCGACGTTGGTTTCGGAATTCAGAAGTTCATAATTGCTTAGGGTTGAATTTAGATTGTGACTCGTAAACTTTGTGTTGTTTGATGTGATTTCTTGGACTCGAGTAGATCCGTTATGTGTTTTGGGACCAGTTGGTATATTCGGATGGGTCCCGGGGGCCCCAGGTGGGATTCGGATCGAATCCGAAACAATTTGGACTTGCTAAGTTTTTGCTGAAGGTTGGCAGTTCTGGTGTCTTCGCACCTGTAAAGGGATTGGCCACAGGTATGCGGAACTAGGCATGCCCAGCTGGGAGCGCAGAAGCGACTTCGCTCCCGCGATGGAGAGGGACGCAGGAGTGACAGTGGTCGCAAATATGCATGCGCAAATGCGGACCTTATTCCGTAGAAGCAGAATCCTTGGATTTAAGTAAAGTCCGCACCTGCGATGGTTTTTCCGCAGGTACAGAGTCGCAGAAGCGACACAAAGGGCGCAGAGGCGATTTACCTGGGCAAAAAAAGGAAAAATTCGAGGGTTTGCTCCATAAATCATTTTGGGAGATAGAGAGCTCGGTTTGATGCGAAACTTCAAGGGATTTTCATAGAGAACCTTGGGGGTAAGGAATTCTATCTCGTTTTGGATTAATTCCCCTGAATCTATTGATAATTTCATCATTTAATTAGTGTTTTGGAGTTTGAAATTGGAAAAAATTGGTAAAAACTCGTTAGGCTAAATTTTTGAGTTTTAAAATGCGAAATGAGGTCAGATTTAAATAATTCTTGTATGGTTGGACTCGATGTCGAATGGGTGTTCGGTTTTTGTAATTTTGGTCGGGTTCCGAGAGGGGGGCCCGGGGTGACCTTTTTGGTTGATTTCTCAATTCTTTGCAAAGATCGTAATTTCATTGTTTGAATTAGTTTCCTATAGTTATATTTATAGTATGATATTATTTTGGCTAGATTCAAGCCGTTCGGAGTTAGAAAATCGAGGTAAAGGCCTTCTACTTGATTGATTTAGCGTGGTTTGAGGTAAGTGACTTGTCTAACTTTGTGTGGGGGAAATTTCTCTTAGAATTTTATATTGTTGTGATAAGGCCGTATATGCAAGGTGACGAGTGTGTACACGGGCTAAATGTTGAAATTCTGGTTTTTAGCTATGTAGTTTCCCTTCATGCTTAATTGAGTTGCTTTAACATGTATGGTTACCCTATTTGGACTAATTTCACATGTCTACTTGTCTTATCTCTTATTTGTAACTTGTCCTACATGCTTAGTTGAATTACTTGCTTTCTTTTATTTCGTACTCATTATTTAACTGTGAATTCTTTACTTGAAATTGCTATTCTTGGAATATCTTGTTGTTGAGTCTGGTATTGAGTTGCAAAGGCCGTGGTTTCTATTGAGGCAAAGTGTAAGTTGTGAAATATCATTTTATTGAATTTCTCTCCGGTTGTTATTGTTGAAACTTTGTGTACATTATGGTTGAGCCGTGCGCTCCTTATTGTGAAATTCTATTATTGTTGGCTTTCTGGCAAGTTGTGACATTGGGCACTTGAGGTGTGAATTGTGATACGTTGTGATGTTGATACGCATGCGGTAGTATAAGGTTTGGGTATTGAAACACATGCGGTGAGATAAGCTGGGCTTGATACACGTGGGTAGTAGGGAAACTACTAGAAACCATGTGGTGTGATAAGGTGGGCTAAAATGCGAGGTGCTATTTCGGGAAAAAAATAATTTTCAAACTAAATGTAAAGGTTCCCGCGGTCATATAAGGAAAGATTGTGAGTTACTTTTATGATTCGGGACTATGAGGCGGTACCTCGGTAGTGGCCCTTGTTGATCTTCCTCTATTTCTTGTATTTGCCTTGGTTGTTTGTCTCCTTAACATGTAAATCCTTGTTTTCCCTTCTGTGTTGTATTAACTGTCTTGATTCCGTGTTGTTAACTTTCCATAAATTTCTTATTGTTTCATTTCCATTTTCATTATCATTATATCGTTATATTTTTTGTCTTGTTTCATATTATCTCCAGTAGAGCCTTGACCTGACCTCGTCACTATTCTATTGAGGTTAGGCTTGACACTTACTAGGTATCACTGCGGTGTACTCATACTACGCTTCTACACATCTTTTTGTGTACATCCAAGTACTTCCTATCAGTCCCGGCATTAGTGAGCTGGGGTTGCTTTGGAGACTTCAATGTATACCTGCCCGCGTCCGCAGGCCTTGGAGTCCCCTTATATCCTATTTTCCCCCTTATTTTATTACACTATCTTAGACAATGATGTATAGGATTGTTCAGAATTGTTACTAGATCTTGTGACTTATACTTCACCAGGTTTTGGGAGTTGTATATTTTGAGTTACAGATTTTATTTATGTAGTTGTTGAATTTTTGAGATTTTAAGTTGTTATTTCAATTATTCCGCATGTTGACAGGCTTACCTAGTTTTAGAGACTAGGTGTCGTGACGACTTCCTATGGAGGGAATTTGGGGTCGTGACAAGTTGGTATTAGAGCTCTAGGTTCATAGGTGTTATGAGTCATAATCAGGTTTAGTAGAGTCTCATGAATCGGTACGGAGACGTCTGTACTTATCTTACGGAGGCTATGGAACTGTTAGGAAGAGCTTCACTTCTGTGATTCCTTATCGTGCGAATTTGTTGACTTCGGGATTCTAAATTTGTGTCCTTCTATTCTCTCACAGATGGTGAGGAGACGTACAACTGAATTGGATAACCAGACACTCGTGTTCCCTGCTAGAGCCATGAGAGGCCGGAGCCGGGGTAGTGGCCGAGGACGTCTATATGGTGCAGCCAGAGCAGTTGCACGAGTTGCTACAGAGGAGCCATCAGTAGCTCCAATTAGAGAGTAGTCACCTGAGGCGCCTGATACTGCCCCAGCACTTCAGGAGACCCTCACCCAGGTTCTGAGCATGTTCGGCACTTTAGTTCAAGCAGGGTTGATCCCACTTGCTCCTGCCACATCTCAGGCGGGAGGAGGAGCACAGAATCCTGCCGCCCGTACCCCAAAGAAATGGGTTCAGCTTTAACAGGTCTCAGAGGTCATACTAGTGCAGCTGGTCGCCCCAGTTCAGCCCGAGATTAGGGCAGCAACTTCTGAGGGGGAGCAACTCAGGGTCGAGAGATACAAGAAGTACCACCCTCCTACTTTTAGCAGCTTGGATTCAGAGGATGCCCAAGGTTTTCTTGTGGAGTGCCACTGTATCCTCTGTACTATGGGTATTGTGGAGTCTAGTGGGGTTGTTTTCACTACGTTCCAGCTTAAGGGAGCGATTTATTAGTGGTGGAGAGCATATGAGTTGGGTAGCCTGGCTGAGGCAGCTTCACTCACTTGGGCTCAATTCTTAGATATGTTCTTGAGCGAGTTTGTTCCCCAGAGTCTTAGAGATGCATGGCGCGCAGAGTTTGGGCAATTGCGCCACGGTTCTATTACCGTATCAGAGTATGAAGTCTGGTTCAGTGAATTATCTAGGCATGCACTAGCCTTGGTTGCTACTGTTAGAGAGCGAGTCCGTCGATTTATCAAGGGGCTCAACCCTGGTATCAGATTTAGCATGGCCTGAGAGTTGGAGATGGACATCGCATTCCAGTAGGTAGTGGAGATCACTTGGAGAATGGACGGTATATGGGCCCAGGAGAGAGAGGAGAGGGAGGCCAAGAGGCCTCGAGATTTTTGCATATATAGTGGTGCTCGTGCCCCAGTTGCAGCTCGTCATGGTAGGGGCTATGTGAGCCACCCTATTTATTCAGCACTTTTAGCTTCTAGCGGTATTCCGGCCACTCCTAGGCCCCATGCTCCCTATTATGCACCGCCATTGTCTAGTGCACCTCCTGCACGGGGTGCTATCAACGGTCAATCCAACCGATCAGGTCCGAGCCAGCCACGTCCTCCGAGAGCTTGTTTTGAATGTGGTGACACTCACCATATGGTGAGGGATTGTCCTAGACTAAGGAGGGGTACACCTCCACAGACTACTCAGGCTCCACGTATTCCACGGGATCCTCAGGCTTCTCAGGTAGTAGTTACCGCAACATTTATCACTCCACTTGCTTAGCGAGCTAGAGGTGGGGGTCGGCAGGTAGAGGTCGCCCTAGAGGGGAGGCCAGGCCAGATACTATGCTCTTCCTGCTAGGACGGAGGCAGTTGCATCTTACTCAGTCATCTCTGGTATTGTTCTGGTCTGTCATAGAGATGTATCCATATTATTTGATCCAGGCTCCACTTATTCCTATGTGTCATCTTACTTTGCTCCATATTTGGGTGTATCCCGTGATTCTTTGACTTCTCCTATCTATGTGTCCACACCTGCGGGAGATTTCCTTGTTGTTGACTGTGTGTATCGGTCGTGTTTAGTTGTTATTAGTTGTTTAGAGACTGATAAGTGGGCATTTTTACTACTTATCAACACTTTTTTACATTTGTTTTAGTCCGATAGTATTGGTTTATGTTCTCAAAACTAATGAAAATATGCAAATTGCAGGAATGTTGGAAGTTTGGTCTCCCATGATGAAATCCAACTAAAAAATGAGTGTTATGAATTACAAGGCAATAAAGGGTGAAAAATCAAAGAAGTGCGGTCCGTAGAAGAAAGTGCAGACCGCAGAATTTCATTTGCGGCGGCAAACCAAGTGAAAGAACCCAATAGGACTTTTGCCAATGTGTGAACCGCACATGAATTGTGCGGCCACAGAACAGGGTCTGCACTGACAAGTGATTCCAAGTTCAGAGAGTGTGCAAAAGACCAAGTCCTGAAGCCTTGCTGAAGTGCAGACCGTACAAGAATTGTACGGCTGCAGAAGATGCTTCGCAGCCGCAATCCAGAAATGTGCGGCTACAGAACCCAAGTTCCTGCCAACTGAAGAAATCTGCGGATCGCACATGGAATTGTGCGGCCGCAGAACCTCCTGAAGGGCATTTTTGTCAGCGAATTTTAGGCATCTTTGATTATGTGTTTAATTAGCATTTCTTCTTTATTTTCTTCAATTCCCACAATGAGTAGCTAGATTCTTACTAGGGTTGTGACCCAACCCTAGTGTGTAAATCTTATGGGTACTTAATTTAATGATTTTTATGATTGGGTGTTGCTTATTTAGCTTAGTTCATGCTTCAATTTTAGAATTAATAGTTTCAAACATTGATTCATGCCATTTTGACTTAGTCTCTACTTGAGAAAGAGGGACCTAGTCTAGGATAATTTGGCTAATAAGGAATTGGGTTAATTGAGAGTTTGATTAGCCTAATTAAAGGGTTCAAACTAGGGATAGTATGAACCCGACTTGAGCTCATATCAACTATTTTGTTTGATACCCATTTGGACTTGAGAAAGCCAAATTGGGCAAAATCACCCTCTGACCGAGAGGTATTGAGTGGGTAACATAGAGTTGAGAGCTATAATACACCCCAATAAACAAAATAAGTATTAATGTATTTAACTCATTAGGCGAACACCTAGGTTATGGTCATATCCCTAGGCTTTTTAACTATTTGAAAAAAAGACCAAAAACAATCATTCGCTTCTAGATTCTTGTCTTAGCTTACAATTGTTAGAGTAAAAGTAGAATTAGAAATCAAAACCTTCTAAGGAAGTGCAAATTTAGTTAATCCATTTTCTCTCGTCAAGTGTATACTCCTAACACCCATTGTAACTTCCTGTGGAAATTGACTCCGACTCTTATTGGGTACTATTCTTCCAACAATAGTTTCCACTCATTATTGAGTGCGGATTGGACGTTGATCAATTTTTGGCATCATTGCAGGGGAGTTAAAACGGTGTTAGTTATATATATATATATATATATTTTTTTTTTGGAATATCTTTTTTTCCTTCCATGTTACTAAATAGTATGAAAAATCTTAGGTATAACCATGAAGAACAATGAGCTCAGAAATTTGCCTTTGGGGGATTTGGATGCAGAGGACGAGCAAGTAGAGGAGGTACCTCATGAGCCACAAGCCAACCGGAGAGGTCGGGTACCTCATGACAATGTGCCCGTTCCATCCCCACCTCTACCACGAGAAGCTCCACGCCGTATATTTCCCAATGAAGGTTATGCTAGTGAAATACTCCCTCCCCGTATTATGGAGGGCAACTTCGTAATCACCAATGTGATGCTCACCTTGCTTGAGCAACATAGATTCTTCACCGGTGCTCCAACACAAAATGCTTATAAACATTTGAAGGGCTTTGTGGACACTTGTCGGGGAGCAAGAAAACAAATATCTCCGAGGATGCATTGAGGCTAAGGCTTTTTCCCTTCTCTCTATAGGGGAAAGATTTAGATTGGTTGGAACGATTGCCGAACAATTCAATTCACACTTGGGATGAGTTGGCGGAAAGGTTCACTGCTAAGTTCTTCTCTCCCGGACACATGGCTATATTTCGAGATGAGATCCTAACATTTAAGCAAGAGTCAAATGAACCACTACACGAGATATGAGAACTCTATAGAACTATGGTCAAGGAATGTCCTAACAACCATATGATGGAAAACATGATTCAACAGACCTTCTATCGTGAGATTAACACAACCAAACAATATGTAGTGAATCAACTAGCGGGTGGGAACTTTATGACTACACCTTATGCAGAGGCGTGCCAGATTTTGGATGAGATGGCGGAAACGTCATTGGCTTGGCAATTCTGGGCCAATGTTTCACAAGGTGACCCGAATATGATCCACCTTTACAAAGAATTGCAAGACCATGGGCAAGCCATTGACGAATTGACAACTACCATGACTCAAATAGAGAAGGACCAACTAAATCAAGTACAAAATCCTAAGCAAGTCAATGCTATGGAAAGAGTAAACATTATGGTGAACAAAAGGAGGACCAAGGGTCCATAATTGCAAAATCGAGTGGAGAACTATGTGCAAGAAGATGGTAGTTTTGAGCAAGATGATTCCTATAATGAACAAGAAGAGGAGGTGCGATATGTGAATAATTTTCAAGTGCAAAGAAACAATTTCCAAGTCCCAAGCCAACAACAATGGCAACCTCAATCAAGGAAATTAGAATTCTAACAATCAAGGAAATTGGAGTGGAGGCAACAATCAAGGAAATTGGCATAACAACAACAATCAATGAAATTTTAGTGCAAACAACCAAAGAAATTGGGGAGGTAACAATCAAGGCGTATGGAACAACAATAAAGGGAACCACGGGTCGGCTTTTCAAAGTCCCCCAATGTACCAACAACCAAGCAACCTACCTACTTATCCTTCCCATGGTTCGATTTTTTCAAACAATGAGATGGGCATATTGAAAATTTGTTCAAGAAAATGATAGAAAAGACTGTCGATTCAGATGCCCAACTTGCCTCACACAACACATCAATCTGCAACCTAGAAGTTCAAATGGGGAAAATCTCTCAAGCCTTAAATTCTCGTCCTAAGGGGGCACTACCAAGTCACACGGTGGTAAACCCAAAGGGTGGTAACAATACGGGGCATGCCATGGTGGTTATCACAAGAAGTGGAAGAGGCGAGAATGCACCAATCTCAAGTGAAATGCAACTTGTTGATGATGATCAAGTGATGCAAGAAGAAGTGATCCCGTACAATATGGTGTAACATAATTATGAAGTTGGGATTTATATTGATGATAATGTGGAAGAGACTCAAGAGGAGGTGAACACGTCTAAGGAACATATTATTAACATACCAGAGCCGGTAGTGCAAAAGGCTAAGGCACCATTGCCTAAGACTTTACCTCCATACCCTCAAACACTTGCCAAGAAAAATGGTGAGAATCAATTCAAGAAGTTCATTCAAATGATGAAGAGTCTCTCAATCAATGAGCCATTAGTTGAAGCTTTGGAACAAATTCCTTGTTATGCAAAGTTTATGAAGGATCTAGTGACAAAGAAGCAGTCAATGAACTTTGAGACCATCAAGGTCACTCATCAAGGGAGTGTGATTGTGCATTAAATGGCTCCTAAGTTGGAGGATCTCGGTGCTTTCATGATTCCTTGTACAATTGGAAGTACCGAGTTTGCTAAAGTACTTTGTGATCTTGGGGTAAGTATCAATTTGATGCCCTATTCGGTTTTCAAGACTTTGGGAATTGGGCAACCAAGACCCACCTCTATGAGATTGCAAATGGCCGACCATACCATGAAGAGGCCCTTGGGAGTGATTGAAGATGTTTTGGTTCGTGTTGATAAATTCATTCTTCTGGCAGATTTTGTCATTCTAGATTGTGAGGTTGATTATGAAGTACCGATTATTCTTGGGAGACCTTTCCTTGCTACAGGTAAGGCTCTTTGTGATATTGAAGCCGAAGAACTCACTTTCCGGATGGGTGATGAAAAAGTGGTATTCCATGTGTGTAGGTCCATGCGGCAATCAAATAGCAATGAGTTGTGTTCTTTTGTGGACTTGGTAACTGATGTTATTGTTGATGAAACAAGTGCTACAATCAATGTTGGTGATATATTGGAGGCTGTCTTGCTCAACTTTGATGATGACGAGATGGATGGCCTTATGGAATGTGTGAATCCTTTGCAAGGAACGGGGTCGTACAACCCTGCACCCTGGAAATTGTCTTTGGATTTTGAAAATAAAACAACTTCTCCGACAAAGCTTTCTATTGAAAAGCCTCCTACCTTGGAGTTGAAGCCACTACCTCCACATCTTCGGTATGAATTTCTTGGTCCTTTTCTACTTTACTGGTTATTATTTTTTCTTATTTGACTAACGTGCAGGTACATTCCATATTGGCGGTGCTACAAAAAGAGAAAGAAGTCTATTGGGTGGACCTTGGCGGATATTTAGGGGATAAGCCCAGCTTTTTGCATGCATAAGATCAAGTTGGAGGATGGCGCCAAATCATCTATTTAACATCAAAAGAGACTCAATGAGGCTATGCAAGAAGTTGTCAAGAAGGAGATTATCAAGTGGTTGGATGTCGGGGTTGTCTAACCCATCTCCGATAGTTCGTGGACTTCTCCAGTTCAATGTTGTCCCAAAGAAGGGGGGCATGATGGTGGTCACCAATGACAAGAATGAGTTGATTCCTACAAGAACGATGACCGGTTAGAGGGTGTGTATGGACTATTGGAAGCTCAACAAATTAACAAGGAAGGATCGCTTTCCATTTCCTTTCTTAGATCAAATGCTCGATAGATTGGTAAGTTGTGCTTTTTATTGCTTTATTGATGGGTACTCAGGCAGCAACCAAATTCTCATTGCTCCGGAAGATCATGTGAAAATAACCTTTATATATCCCTATGGTACTTTTGCTTTCAAGCGGATTCCATTTGGTTTATGTAATGCACCGACGACTTTTTAAAAGTGTATGATGGCTATTTTCACGGACATGGTGGACTACCTTGAAGTTTTCATGTATGACTTCTCGGTGGTTGGAGATTCTTTTGATGACTGTCTTGCAAATTTGGACAAAGTGCTGGCTATATTTGAAGAAACAAATTTGGCGCTCAATTGGGACAAATGCCATTTAATGGTCGAGGAAGGTATTGTCCTTGGCCACAAAATCTCAATGAGTGGAACTGAAGTTGACAAGACAAAAATTGAGGTGATTTCTAAACTTCCACCTCCAACTTCGGTGAAGGGTGTGCGGAGTTTCTTAGGCCACGTGGATTTTTACCGGCGCTTCATCAAAGACTTCTCTAAAGTAATGAACCCATTGTGAAAGCTTCTTGTGAAGGATGAAAAGTTTAACTTCAGTGATGATTGCATGAGAGCTTTTCAATTGTTGAATCTCAAGTTGACAACTAATCCCATCATCACCATTCCAAATTAGAGTGTCCCTTTTGAACTCATGTGTAATGCAAGTGACGTAGCTGTTGGGGATGTTTTCACGAAACGCATCAACAAAATCTTTCATCCTGTCTACTATGCTAGTAAGACCATGAATAGTGGTTAAGTCAACTATACCGTTACGGAGAAAGAGCTCCTTGCTATTGTATTTGCAATTGAGAAGTTCCGCCCGTACTTGATGGGTGCAAAAGTCATTGTCCACAC